TAGTGCAGCTATAACAGAAATACCACAAGTGGGTGGCTTTAACAAATGCAAGTTTATGCTGTCACAGGCTTTGTGGCTAGAAGTCCAAATTCAGGGCACCAGCTCCAGGGGAAGTCTTTCTCTCTCTGTCAGCTCTCGGGGAAGGTCCTCGTCATCAATCTTTCCCTGGTCTAGGAGCTTCTCAGCACAGGGACCCTGAGTCCAAAGAACATGCTCCACTTCTGGCTCTTCTTGCTTGGTGGCCATGAGATCCTTATCTTTCTGTTTGCTTCTCTCTCCCTTTATCTCTTGTAAGATAAAAGGTGATGCAGGCCACACCCCAGGGAAACTCTCCTTACATGGTAGTGGGGCTGTGATCTGAGTAAGGGTGTTGCATGCCACCCTAATCTTCTTAACATAGCCTAATCTTGCCTCATTAACCACAGGCAGAGATTAGGATTTACAACACATAGGAAAATTACATCAGAATTCAAAATGGAAGACAACCACATAATATTGGGAATCATTGCCTGGCGAAGTTGACACATATTTTGAGGAGACACTATTCAATCCATGACAGATGCCAAAAGAGAAGCTGATGCTCTTCGAATCACAAATGCTTCCCTCTGTGAGAAGGGAGACGTACTTCAACAGTAGTGTCAGCAAGTATAAGAGGTGTTTCCCATCTGCTACGCAAAGACCTTGGCAGTTGTCACTCTTGTCCTCACAACAGAAAATAAAATCTGGAAAACTAAAAATCAACAACTCTTCTTAGATCATCATGGAATTGAGGTCACAGGGCAAACACTGTCCTGAAAACTGGAGATACAGGCAGATACAGAGAATCACACTTACTGGGAGCAGAAGCCACCAATGGACTAGGCTAACACTAATCTAAAGAGAGCTATACTAATTTCAGACAATGTAGATTTCAGAGCAAGGAAAATTATCAGAGATGAAGAAGGGCATTATATGATGATAAAGGGGTCAATTGTCCAAGAAGTCATAACAATCCTGAATGTGTATTCACCTAACAGTAAAGTGTCAAAGTACATGAGGCAAAACTAGTAGAACTGGAAGAAGAAATGGACAAATCCATTACTATAGTTGGAGACTTCAACATCTCCTATCAGCAACTGATAGACCCAGCAGGCAGTAAATCAGTTAGGACAGTTGAACAGAACAGCAGCATCAATCCACTGGATCTAACTGACATTTATAAAATACTCCATCCGTCAACAACAGAATACACATTCTTCTCAAACTCACGTGCAACATTTGCCAAGACAGACCACATCCTGGACCATAAAACATGCCTAAACAAATTTAAAAGAATAAAAATTCTAAAAAGTATGCTCTTAGACTACACTGGAATTAAACTAGAAATCAATAACAGAAAGATAGCTAGAAAAAATCCAAAATATTTGGAGATTAATAAACAACACACCTTTAAATAGCACCGGGGTCAAAGAAGTCTCAAGAGACATTAAAAAAAAAAAAATTGAAATAAATAAAAAGGTAAATACAATTTACCAAAAGATAGTGCTTAGAGGGAAATCTATAGCATATTAGAAAAGAAAACAGATCTAAAATTAATTGCCTAAGCTTCCACCTTAGGAAACTTGAAAAGGAAGAGCAAATGAAATACAAAGTGGGTAGAAGAAAAGAAATAATAAAAATTAGAGCAGAAATTAATGGAACTGAAATCAGGAAATTCATAGAGGAAGTTAATGAACCCAAAAGCTGGTTCTCTGAAGAGATCAGTAAAGTTTATAAACCTCTAGCCAGGCTAACCAGGAAAAAAACGAGAAGACACAAATTACGAATATCTAAAATCAAACAGGAGCCATCACAACTGATTCTATGGACATTAAAAGGATAATAAAGGAACATTACTGAAAACTATACCCTCACAAATTTGATAACTTAGATGAAATGGATCAATTTTTTGAAAGACATAATCTACCAAAACTCACCCAAGGAGAATTAGATAATCTGAATACATCTTTACCTGTTAAAGAAATTGAAGCAACAATTAGTAATCTTCCAACACAGAAAGGACCAGGCCCATGTGGTTTCACTGGTGAATTCTACCAAACACTTAAAGGAGAAATGATACCAATTCTTTACAAGCTAGTCTAGAAAATAGAAACAGAGGGAACACTTTCTAACTTATTCTATGAGGCCAGCATTACTCTTATAGCAAAACCAGGCAGACATTACTAGGAAGCAAAATTACAGACCAATATCTCTCATGCACATAGATGCAAAAATCCTCAACAAAATATTTAAAAATTGAATGTGACAATATATAAAAGGATTATACACCATGACCATGAGTGATTTAGTCCAGGCATCCAGGGCTGGTTTTACATTCACAAATCAGTGAATGCAATTCATCCCATCGACAGGCTAAAGAAGAAAAACCATATGATTATATCAATAGATGCATAAAAATATTCGACAAAATCCAACACCATAAATGATAAATACTCTCAGTGAACTAGGAATAGAGGAGAACTTCCTCAACTCGATAAAAAGAACATCTACAAAAAAACCTACAGCTAACATCATACTAGGAGGCCTGGTTGCATAATGGTTAAGTGCTCAGCTGCTAACCAAAAGGTTGGCAGTTCAAACCCACCCAGCAGCTCCATCTGAGTAAGATCTGATGATCTGCTCCCATAAAGACTACAGCCTAGAAAACCCTGTGGGGAAGTACTACTCTGTCACATGGTGTCACTATGAATCAGAATCGACTTGATGGCACCTAATAACAATGACATCATCATGTTGAGAAATATAATCATAACGTTGAGAAACTAGATGCTCTCTCTTTAAGATCAGGAGCAAACAAGGATATTTCCTCTTACCACCCCTACTCAACATTGTACTGGAAGTCCTAGCTAATGAAATAAGACAAAAAAAGGAAATAGAAACAGTTTGGGAAGGAAGAAATAAAACTGTTTTTGTATATGATATGATGGTCTATGCAGAAAACCTCAATGAAATTAACAACAACAATAAAAAAAAACTCCTGGAACGAATAAGCAATTATAACAAGGTTGGAGGATACAAGGTTACTATATAAAAGTCAATTGCTTTCCTATATACCAGCAATGAATACTGAAATTTGAAATTAAAAACACAAAAGCATTTACGTTAGCACCAAAATAATGACATACTTAGATATAAGATATAAATGTAACAAAATATGTACAAACTCTATATGAGGAAAACTAAAAAGCTCTAATAAAAGAAAACAAAGAATATCTAAATAAATGGAGAGATATTCCTTGTTCATGGATAGGAAGACTTTCTACATTAAGATGTCAATTCTTTCCAACTTGATCTATAGATTCATTGCAATCCCAATCAAAATCCCACAGCAAGTTATTTTGTAGATATTGACAAACTGGTTCTAAAGTTTATATGGGAAGGCAAACAGTGCGGAAGAACGACGAAGTTGGAGGACTAATCCTAGCCGACTTCAAGACTTACTATAAAGCTATAGTGATGAACACAGTGCAGTATCGGTGAAAGAACAAATAGATCAATGGGACAGAATACGGAGTCCAGAAACAGACCTACACAAATACAGCCAACTATATTTGACAAATTGACAAACTCTATTTGACAAATCTTTGACAAATTGGCAAAGGCAATTCAATGGAGAAAGGATAGTTTTTTAAATAAATGATGATGGAACTACCGAACATCCACAGCAAGTCAAGGTGCTATGCTGGGATTTGGGGGGAAGGGGACCCAGCCCAGGTGTCAGGAGACTTCCTCATGGAACTTGAGGGCATTATTTTACCACCCTGCATTTGAAAATGAAATTCATTGTTTTAAAACAAGGTATATCTTGTCACTTATTATGCCAAGCACATTCAAAGTGCTTTACAAATATTAACACCTTTTCTGAAGCTAGTACCATGTGATTATATGCTTTTTACGTTCAGTCTAATTCTAACCAACCAGTTGCCACGGAGTTGATTCCGACTCATGGTGACCCCATGTGCGTCAGAGTAGAACTGTGCTCCAGAGGGTTTTCAAAGGCTAATCTTTTTGCCAGGTCTTTTGTGGGACAAAGAACCAAGTTTGCCTTTTTGTCTTGGGTTTTTGAAAACAGCCTGAGCAACTAAGGCGCTCTTTGTCTTTCTGAAATAACCAGGCAAGTAGGGACTACTCAGGCTCCTCACCTGACCACCTAACTTCAGGAACAGAGGGTGCATGATGCAGTCAATCATACTTATTGAGGTCCCAGTGACTAGGAGACACCGGGCCTTGAAGCTTTCTCTTTTGGGGCTTCCTGGATTGGTGAGAACATCCATGCAGGGCAGTGGGTGAGGCATGTCCTTGGGGACAACGGAAGCCTCATGCCAGGAACTTTCCCAGACCTTGCCAGATGCGTCTCTGCTTGTGTCTTTCCTGGTTATAAATGGGTGACTGTAAGTATGTATAGGTAGTAGTCTCTGTGAATTTACTGAGTCATTCCAGAGAATTAATGAACCCACAGGGACAATGAGCCAGCAGGGGCTGGCGGTAGAGAGGCAATTTGTGTAGACCCAGCTCTGGGTGGCTGGGTGGTAGAGAAGGCTGCACGGGCAGTGATGAATGATAAAGAGTCCTTCTAGCTTCTGACCTAGTCCCAGGAGAAGAGAGAGAGAGGGAAGAAGGGAGAGAGAGAGAGAGACAAAGAGAGACAGAGAGGGAGTGAGAGAGAGCAGCTCATCGGAAGTGCAGGAAGTTGTGCAGACTCCTGAGCCTATGGCTGCTCCCTGATGACATGGCCTCAGGTGGCCAGAGATGTTTTGACTCGGCTCAGGATAGCCAGGGATGGGGCCTGATCTAACTCTGAGTGATTCGGATCTGAAAGAGTTTTTGCCATGGAAGTGGCTGGTGACAAGTAATGGAGATGTGGAAAGGTGAAGCCTGGATTCACTGCCAGCTGGGTATTGGATTTATGCTGATCCTTGCCACTCAGGAGAAAGGTGGGGTTTGCCCATTTCACTCCCTTCATAGTTGTCACACCTTTCTTCCAAGCAGGTGCCTCTGGGCGGACTCGAACCTCAAAACTTTCAAGCGCCGTTTGCACCACACAGGGACTCCTCAGCTAGTAAACTATCTGCAAAATCCAGGAGAATAACTCTGGAAGCCAGCTGCTGTGACTGGCTTACCTGCCCAGCGTGCTTGTCCTCCGCCAAGGTGCAAGATTCAACCTCTGGGGCCTTTCCTGACAGTAGGCAAGGATAAGTTATTAACAGCAAAGGAACAGCTATAAAATAATACAACGAAACAAATGTTTATAACCATTTCTAAAAGCGCTTCACGTACGTTCCAACTCTTTTAATTTTGGAGTTAAGGTAGCCAGTGGACAGTTCCGGCAGTTCGCTAGATACCCGCCGGTCCAGGTTGGCATGCACGGGCCTATAGCACGTCCCGGTCTCGGAGGGTTGGGGTAGGGAATCCCAGGTTCGGACACGCGGGTGTGTGACGCGAGCGCGGGGCGGGTATGTGACGCGACCGCGGGGCGGGGCTCCCAGGTCAGGCGGCGGGCCTGTGACTTGAGGCTGATGAAACCGGCTCGAGCGGCCTCCCGCGCTTCATTCTCCGCGCGGGCAGGTGCGAGCTGCCGACCGACTGCCGGGCGGGCACGGGCGCAGGGCGCGCGGGCAGCTGGCATCCGCTAACAGCACCTTCCACTCCTGCTCATAGCGCAGCGCGCTCCGCCACCCGCATCTCTATCCGAGTGTCCGTCCGTCCGTCCATCTGTCCGCCCGCGGTCCTCCACGCATCCCAACGGCTCGGTGAGTGCCCGGTCCCCGCCGGCGCCCGCGCAGCGTCCCCGGGCAGCGTTCCCGGATAGGGTCACCTTGGAAGGAGCTGGCGCCGCGTGGGGTCACGGCGAGGGTCCCGCGCCGGGGACGTCGCCGCCTCCAGGGGGGCCCCGCGGGAGGGTCGCGGGCAGGGGCGGGCCCGGGGTGTGCGCGCGGGGCCGGTGCCCACGCGGCTGTAGTCTTACTCGGAGTCCATTTTGGTTCCCTGAGGGCGCAGCGTGGTGCATGATGCAACACGGAGTGAGTAAGCGTGGGCGGCCGGCGTCTCGGGGATGCCAACGCCGCGCGGTTTCCAGAGTCCTGGGCGCACGGGGTGGCCAGGATGGGCAGGGGGCGGCACCAGGGGCAGCCCGCAGGATCCGGAGCCCGGCGGGCGGCGAAGGAGAGCTTCCCTTACATGGCGCGGGGCAGAGCAGAGCACCCCGCCCCGCCACGAGGCCCGGGGATGTGTCATCAGTAGCGGGTCCGGATCCCGCCCAGCGGCCCGGAGGGTGGTCCCGAGGCAGGTGGCGGGCCCAGGGACAGCGTCGCGCACTCCCGCCCGGTGGCCTTGGCTCCCACCTCCCTTCGTCCTCAGACCCCAAGACCCGCTCCGGTCCTCGTACACCTCTTTTCTAGGTCTCCCCCATTGATGGGCTTCCTTAAGACCCGATTTGCCCTGAAAAGGCGGTGTTGTTCAAGCCTTCCAGATGGTTTGGAGTGGGAGGAAGTTCTTCCGGCTTTATAAAGAAGACCTAGTCTCAGTATTTTTCATTCTGCGTAGTAGAAAACTTCCTGAGCGCAGGCCCGCCAGGCAGTCACTCTAAAACCTGTGTGTGCACAGAGCAGCATTGGATTTACAGTACGGTACTACTACAGCGTACGTACTATGTTGGCTCCTTCGCCTTTTTAGTAACTGTGGGAACCAGGTAGGAGTTGTGTTTGACGTGTATGATTAGGATAGCCAGACATGTGCCCTCTAGAAAAAACAACAACAGCAAAAAACCTAACTTCCCAGTACATTCGGTCATGCTCTCGTGTAGCCTGGAGTTGGTTTTATTTCAGACTTAGACATAGGAGGAGACTCAGCTTGCAATTTCAGCCCTAAGTGTTATTTCCCTACAAATGTGCTCCTCAGCGAAAAGTTGACTAGTAGAACTAATACCTCTGGCTGAATTTCCTAATGGTGTTTGACTTGAATTATAATTTATTTGCCATTTATCTTAACATTTCTTGCCTTTTATAATAGGAAACCATGATATGTTTATTCTCCTGATATTTTTAGTTGGTCTCAGTGGAAATTATTATATTTATATGAACACACCCTTTTGTCATTAAAACAAAAGGCTTATTTTAAGTCACCTGATCAGAATGGAAACTTAGTAGGGGAAAAGGTTGACAATAGTTTTAAAGATTTGTCATATTGGAGTCATGTTTAATCATTAAAGATGAAATTCAAAAGGTATCAAAGGAGTTGAGTATCCAGACAGGACATGGCTTAGTAAATAGAGATCAGAAATGTGCTCAGTTGCCTGAGCCTGGATCTTAGTGCTACGTGCGTGCTATTATACATAGAATTATTTGCTTTAGACGAAGAACAGGGCTTGAGAAACAAGATCGCTGACCTCAGTGTGATTGAATTCTAAGCCGCGTTGATTATATTTGGTAGCAGCTTCCGATTCTTGCTGGTATTAAATGCACGTATATTGATTATTTCAGCCTGTAGTTTCTTTTTAGAGAGGCCGATTTAAAAAAAAAAAAAGGTAATTAAGTTGGAGGGACAGTGTTATGTCCCGTTAAATGAATTCCTCCTCATTATTAGCCATCCATTTGGAGGTGTTGCTCTTATTAATCCTAGGGAGGGAGTTGAAACAGGAATTCCTGAGTGCTGCGTTGTGATGGAGCAATGCAGTGTCCTCTGAGCCTCAGGGTATCTGGTCCTCTGCGTCATCTGAGATGTTGATGGTCTTATCTGGCCCTTCTATCACTCCAAGCAGGACCTTCAGATGTGACCTGGGGGCTCTCTCTTCCACTGTCCTTTTACATTGTACCTGTAAGCCATCAGGACTCGGCTTTGACTCAGAGTGTGATGGGGAACCACTGGAAAGAAGTTCCGACATGTTCTTCATTGATCGCTTTTGCTGCCATGTGGAGAGTAGATAGGCAGGGAGGGGCTAGTGGAGAAGCCTGGAGGCCAGTTAGGAAGCCGCTGGCAGTAATTTTGGTGGACATGGTGGAAACAAGAGATAGCTGGATTTTGGCTATACTTTAAAAGTAGACCCAACAGGATTGGCCAGTGGATTCGATGTGAGGTGGGAGAGAACGAAGTCAAATAGGATTCCCAGTGGAATAGGAGTTGTCATGTTAACGAAATGGGGAAGGCTGAGGGAAGAGCATGTTTGGTGTAAGAAGGACATTTAAAAAAAAAAAAAAAGTCAATAACTGACCTTTTTAGACCCTCACGTCTTAAAGGGACAGGGCTGGACGAGGTCTTGTCTTGGGCCCCTTCCCAGGTGGGTGACTATTGAGCCACCTGCCCCAGGTTGGGGGGCCTCCTTCCCATTCACCTAGCTGTCTTGGCTCCTCACACTACACCTGGGCGTGTCTTCAGTCTCTTTTGGTGCCCACGGCCCCTCTGTGCTGCCCTGTCACTCTCCACTAGGTGGCTGGCAGGGGGCTTCTTGCAGGGGTCGCAAGGGCCTTAGGCCATCCAGCCTGCACCCAGCGACGTGGGATCCCAGGCCAAAGCTCTGTCCGCCCCCAAAATTTTAGATCTCTCTTCTGGTCAGAGAATTTTTCCTGGCCAGAGACTCTGGCTGATGCAACGGTTTAATGCCCTGGGCTGCTAACTGAAAGATTGGTGGTTCCAGTCCACCCAAAGGTGCCTTGGAAGAAAGACCTGGTGATCTACTTCTGAAAAACCAACGATTGAAAACCCTATGGAGCGCAGTTCTACTCTGACACACACGAGGTCATCATGAGCCAGGGTCAACTACATGGCAACTGATTTTTTATTTTTCCTGGCACATTATCAGCCTCTGGCAAAATTTGGCGCTTTTCTTTCTCTTTCTCCATAACTATTCTTCTCGCACCCCCCCCCCCAACTCCAAATTAGCCTTGAAAATAACTACCTTTCTAGTTGCTCAAAACGAGCCATAATTTGTTAAGGGACATCGAGTGGATTTAGCTGCCTGTGAATCTGTGAAAAGGACAGGCAGCAAATTGGTAAAATGATTTGGTGGGCTACGAAATATTCTCATTTTACACCTAAGGCATTTGTTCAGGTATGTAACATCGGCAGAGCTGTGGGGGAAGCTTTTTCCCTGACCCTCTGTGGTCAGGATTCCTTCATCCTGGTAACACTGGCTGTGGGAAAGACGTTTCTGGACTTTGGAATAAATTCTGGGATCATTTTGGCTTCTCCCCCTCTGGTCAGTCATTGTCATTAACGGTGGGGACCACCCGATGGTACAGTTGGTGAACAGACTGTATAAACTTGGAGTTACAGCCATGTGACTAGGGGACGGGGCCTCCAGAGTTTAAGTGTGTACTGAGATTGTCGTTGTTAGCTGCTGTAGAGTCAGCCCCTGACTCTTGGAGACCCCGTGCACAACGGAACGAAACACTGCCAGTCGTGCACAATCCCCATGATCAGTTGTGGATCTCACCATTGTGATCCATAGGGTTTTCATTGGCTGAGTTTTGGCAGTTGATCACCAGGCCTTTCTTCCTAGTCTGTCTTAGTCTGGAAGTCAATCACCATGCCTTTCTTCCTAGTCTGTCTTAGTCTGGAAGTTCTGCTGAAACCTGGTCAGCGTCATAGCAACAGGCAAGCCTCCACTGACAGATGGGCGGTGGCTGCACATGAGATGCATTGGCCAGGAATGAAATCTGAGTCTCCTGTATGGAAGGCGAGTTTTCCTGAAACGAGTGACTGCTGCTCTTAGGAGATAAGGGAAAGGTAGTACCTATACTGGGAAGGGTGCCACTTGCGGCTTCTGGAGTTCTGCCTTGCTTCTTTCTCTGCAGGCCACCTCCAGAAAGCCATTTAGGCTCTGAACTATGTACACTTGCTCCATGTGTAGACTGCGAAGTGGATCTCTCTGCCTCACCGTAAATGAAGCTAATAAACACAAAGTCCATGATATTCTTTGAAACAATGAAAGTACCAAATCCTTACATTTGAATTTCTCTCATGAAATAAGCCTGGTGATTCTGTCTGACTTCTGGATATCAGAAATCAAGCTCAGAGAAACCTTTAAAGGCTACGGCTTAGTGAATTTACATGGGGCTGGCAGAAAGAATGTCCCTTCCTCTAGTAAATCCAGTTGCTGTTGAGTTGACTCGACTGCTGACTGAAAGGTTGGCAGTTCAGGTCCACTCAGAGGTGTCTTGGGAGAAAGGCCTGGTGATCTACTTCTGAAAAATCCACCATTGAAAACGGTATGGAGCACAATTCTACTCTGTCACACATGAGGTCGCCACAAGTCGGAATCAGCTGGATGGAAACTGGTTACTGACTACTAGTTAGCCTACCTTATAGGATTGAGAGGATTTAAATGAGATAATCCATGTTACTCACTAGCTTTTAATGCATGTAACTACTATACTGGAAAGAGATTTCAATTCTTTGATTCAGGCATGGGAGAAAAATAATTTTTATACCAACTTTATTTTGATATCGCATTCTGCCAGGGTGGTAAAACACATATCCAGCCCCCTTTCTTTGGATTGTGTTGCAATACCAGGGGGCAAATACAGTGCCAAGGTGTGTGGGGCTGTGTCTCGGCCTCTGAGGCACCCGCTGGAAAGTTCGTCATCCCATCTGGCCCTTGGTCCAGGAGCTGTGGCTGTGCCCTTGTTTCTGTACTACTTTCCCCTTCAGGTCTGGAGGGATCTCTTCACACTGTCTGATCATCTAGATCATTCTGTGGCCACTATGCCAATATGGGGGCATGGAACAGTAGCCTCTGGGGCTGTTTTAGCTCTCT